AAGAACACAAATTCGCGTGGAATTATTAAAAGTTATTATTATTTCATCTATTCGGGTGGTTCAATCTTTTTAGGTTATGTTTGGTAAATTAATAAATTGACTCATAGCTTACTTGATTAGCTTATAGCTCCCTGTATTTAAATAAGCTATTTGATAGGACAAGCTTATTTAAAAAGCTCGGGCTTATTTGATAAGCTTGTTTAGGTAGTTTTTCAAATAAGCTAGTTGAATTTTTTATTTCAGCTAGCTTATCAGCTAATTTTACTAAACACTATTATCATATAAGTTAGCTTTTCAACTATAAGTCATAAGCTACAAGCTATAAACTCGAAAATTACTGATAAACTATAAACTAATTTATCAACTAATTTTACCAAACATAACCTTATACTAAATCAACAACGTTTCCTTTGCAAAAGTCTGGAAAAAGCATTTATTAGTGATTTGCCCAAAGTCAGGCTATTCTCTTTGACATTTGAGTCCTTTTTACACCATAGTATTTTATAATTTTAAAATATATATTTACAAACATAGTAGTATTCATTGTTCACTTTTAGAAGTTAGAACATTTATTATATATTTGAATTTCTTAATTTGACTTTGCATTTGCATCTATAGGCCTACCCGAATATTGTAGGGAAATTTTTATTTTTGCTACATGATTTAAACTTAATTACAATTTTACCATACAAATAGAAATAATTATGTCTCTACTTAAAAGACATTATTAAAAGACATTATTTATCTACATTAATGCCTAAAGTTACCATATCCTTCCAACCCTTATCCCTTAATTCACGCAGGTTATTTAATAGAGCTGTCAGGTAGTATATATTGGGTTTATGTTAGTATATATTCAGTATATGTTTAATATATATACATAAAACATGCCATCAAAAAATGTTGGTGTATATGTTGTATATATTTCAGTAATCATAGTAAATATAAAACATAATCATGGTATATATAAATGAATATATAAAATATAATCTCAGTATATACTTACAATACAAACCGTAATGATGGTATATGTATTGTATATGTTTTCCATGATTTTACTAAATATAAACCATAAATATACCGAAGATATACTGAAAATAAACCATACATATATTGCGTTTATGTTAGTATATATATTCAATATATGTTACAATTAATTTATGCTAAAATATAAATTGATTTTATATATAAAAATTATGTCTCGTGACAAATTTATTTATCATATACCGAAAAGATACTGAATATAAATCATACATATAAAAAAAATCACTTTATGCTTTGTCAAATTCTTTTTCTAACAATAAAATATTCTAAAATACTCAACATAAACTAAAAAAAAAAATATCCATTCACAAATGAAATCTATCTATCAACAAATTAAGCAAATCAAGTTTTCGACAATAAATCTTTTATTATACAGAACATATTCTCCATATATACATAACATATACCCGCAACATATCCAAAATGAATATGAAAAGTTTGTGAATTATGAACTATGAAAAGTAGTGTCTCCATGAGATTGTGATTCCGTCAAAAACCTCTAAGTAATGTTATTAAGCTGACCTCAATCAATAATTCTATATGTTTCACGGGCAAAGAAGTCTACATGAGATTTTTATTTGTGAAGATTCAAAGTCTAGAGTATAATTTACAAAAAAAAA